CCGTTGTACAACCATATGAGACCCAGAGGCAGAGTCGTGGTCACAGCTTTTTTTTCCTCTCCCTCCTCAGCTCGGCCCTCACTCTGCACGCTGTTACCAGAGCAGGGAGCAGCAGAGGTCAAAATACCTCAGAAACTCGAACTCAAATAGGCTTTAACAAGACATTAATAAGCTAAACAAGAGAGGTACATGAGAAAACGTGTTCATATCGAATGAAAATAAATAATTAAATTGAATGTGTCCATGCCGGTCTCAAACCCTGGTCTCCCACTCCAGCACTCTACCCATTGCCCTATTGGAAGCTTGTTGTGAAATGAGCTGCGCATTGCACAACAACCATGACTGCTTCTTACACTAAGGAGGTGGAGTTTCACCCGGGGGTTTCTAGGTGAGGGACTGAACACAGGTTCCGGTGGGTTGTTGTACGGCTTGTGACATCACAAAATGATGGAAGTATAAAACTTGTCGTTAATACACATTAAAAATACATTTACTTACAGTAAATATGCCCCTGGGTGCATTTTTTTTGGTCCTAGGACTGTTTTTTTAAGAAGTGCATACCCAAAGTTGAGTAAAAAAAACTTTAAAAAGTGAATTTTTCATAATAGGTCCCCTTTAAAACAATTACAAACAAATGTCTTGAGTACAAACTGATTAAAAATGGCCCTAAAAACATTAAAAGAGACCAACTCCCTCAACTTCGTCTTTCTGCCGTAGATTCCAGTTTGAGGGAGCTGCATAATGGAAGGAGCTTTCGCCATAATCAGTGCAAACCTTAGGTACTGTTAATAAAATAAACTCATGCGAGCACAGAAAAGGACTTCCTCTCTAGAACCGTTCATGATATCAGGATGATCCGGACATCAACATGAAGCCTATAAAGCAGGAATCTAAACTGACCAAGTTTGACTTCAGATGGTTTGTCATCACTGAAAGTACAAAGACTGATAAATGAGGAGTGTTACAGTTGCTCAGTAAAGTGGAACATATTTTCTGTCCTCCAGCCTGATGAGACACTGGAGCCTTTCTTTGACTCCTTGGTTCGCCAGACGTCTGTCCCCGACCTCTTCTCTCTCCAGCTGTGTGGCGCAGGCTTCACCCAGAACTACTCCCTGGGCAGCTCCACCGTCGGCGGCAGCATGGTGACCCACACCTACATGAACACAAATCATGTCATGTTCTTGGCGAGCTTTGGATTTGAATTTTCCTCCACTTAGATCATCGGTGGAGTGGACTCGTCCCTCTACGTGGGAGAACTTTGGTACACGCCCATCCGCAGGGAGTGGTACTATGAGGTCATTATCGTGCGGATTGAGGTGAACGGACAGGACCTCAACATGGACTGTAAAGAGGTAAAAGATTCAGAACAAAACTGTCACATATTTTATTTATTAGTGAATAAGAAAAGCTATTTAACAGATTTTCACTGTTGGTCTCTTGAATTTTTTTCTGCAGTATAACTATGATAAGAGCATCGTGGACAGTGGCACCACCAACCTTCGACTGCCGAGGAAAGTCTTCAAGGCTGCTGTCAAGGCTATTGAAGCCGCCTCCTCCGTAAGCTGACTGAAAACTGCAAAGTTTGGTACAACAGGAAAAAGAAAATAACGCCAAATGCTAGTTTTTTCAGAATTTCATATACTCATTAATAATAATAATAATAATAATAATAATAATAATAATAATAATAACTTCTCAAAATCACCTTCACTCTAAAGCAGATTGATTATAGCTGCTCGCCTGGTAACACCAGTAAAGTATTAGGAAATAAAAGTTGTTTTGTATGAAATTATTTATCTAATTTATACTGTATTATATTGTTCTACAGGCCATGTGTCAAAGAAAACTATCAAAATGCAATTACCTGTACCCCAAAAAAGTAATTAAACAATATTTTAGGTGAAAATACATTTACTGCTACTTGTAGTCCCTGCATTTGCTACTGATAATAAATAAATATGAGGCAAACGAATGGAAGTCGTTGTGACTCTGCTTTCAGACTGAGCAGTTTCCTTCTGGGTTCTGGCTGGGGGAGCAGCTGGTATGTTGGCAGGCCGGTAACACACCATGGCACATCTTTCCTGTCATCTCCCTCTACCTGATGAGTGAAAACCGCAACCAGTCCTTCCGAATCTCCATCCTGCCTCAGGTAATGACACTGTCCCAGACTGGGTCTGGGTCTGAACTTGGTCACAAAAAGCACTTCCTCAGGTCTTTTTACATAAATGTAAAAAAAAAATCTGTTTTCCAGAGACACTCAGTTACACTTTAGCTGGATTTTAGTCAAATAAATTGTATGAACTCATACCGTATGCTTACATTTTGTAAAAACAACAACAAAAAATAAAAAAAACTATTATTTTGTAAAAAAATAGCAAGGTACATGCGTGGACAAAATTGTTGGTACCCCTCGTTTAATGAAATAAAAACACAATGGTCACTGAAATAACTTGAATCTGACAAAAGTTATAATAGATAAAGATTCTATGAAAATGAACAAATGAAAATCAGACATTTTTGTATATTATCAAACTATTTAAAGGCACATTTGGCTTAACCATTGAAAACAGATGAAATAAGAAATATGAAACATATTATATACATATAAAACATGCTGAGTTTTTAAAATTAGAATTGGAGAAAAAATGTCAGCATATCACAATATATTGCCTTGCTTACAGTATTGCAATATATTGTGATCCATTGTATCTTGAGCCTATGAGTCCTATCACCAAATTTATGCCAATACACAGCCCTAATACTAAGCAACAAACATGAGTTTGAAAACAAATCACTCTGAGAGTAACAATAACCCAACAATACCAGCCGATGCTCATAGAAAGGACTGGACTTTCCTGGGTAATTTTTGCATGCTCCCTCTAGTGGACAGTTGCGTCATAGCATCACTGTTAGTGTAATCCACAGCCTGCTGGCTCTCTGGTGTTTAAAGCTGACTGTAGATTGTCGAGAATGACATATCAGAATCAACATTATAGTAAATGTTAACTAAATTTTACATAGTCCATTTACATGTATCTTCTTGTTTAGTTAGCTTTAAATTTAAAATGGAAGTAGTAAGTGAAATAATTAATATGTAGAGGTCTAAAATGGAAAAAGTTAACTCAAAACCCTGGTGTGACTTCTTCTACGTACAATTCTGCAGCAGCCTATAATTCATTTTTAGACAGTCCATCACAAAAAGACTGGGTCCTGTTTACAGCTTCACTTTATCTGTCTGTCTGTCTGTTTTTTGTTTTCATTTTTTTGTGTGCAGCAATACCTGCGGCCGGTAGAGGACGTGTCCACTGCGCAGGAGGACTGCTATAAGTTTGCTGTGTCTCAGTCCAGCACGGGGACAGTGATGGGTGCTGTCATCATGGAGGGATTCTATGTTGTGTTTGACCGAGAAAAGAAACGCATCGGCTTCGCTGTCAGCACCTGCCACGGTGAGGAACACTGTACAGAGGCATGATGGGAAGAAAGAAACAATAACTAAAGAAACAAAAATGCAGTGTGGGCACTGGGTCTTTAGTCGCTTTGCTAAAATTAGCTGCAGAAACTGAATCTGAGTTGTTAAAGTTAAAAGAAGTGCAACATTAGCTAAAAGCTGAAAGGATAAAAGCACTAGCTAAAAGGAGCATAAACCTAGCTTAAAGAAGCAAAGCATTAGATAATGGATCATAAACCTAGCTTAAAGAAGCAAAGCATTAGCTAAAAGGAGCATAAAGCTAGCTTAAAGGAGCAAACCATTAGCTAAGAGGACCATAAACCTAACTTAAAGGAGCAAAGCATTAGCTAAAAGGATCATAAACCTAGCTTAAAGGAGCAAAGCATTAGCTAAAAGGATAATAAACCTAGCTTAAAGGAGCAAAGCATTAGCTAAAAGGATAATAAACCTAGCTTAAAGGAGCAAAGCATTAGCTAAAAGGATCATAAACTTAGCTTAAAAGAGAAAAGCTCTAGCTAAAAGTAGCATAAACCTAGCTTAAAGGAGCAAACCATTAGCTAAAAGGACCATAAACCTAACTTAAAGGAGCAAAGCATTAGCTAAAAGGACCATAAACCTAACTTAAAGGAGCAAAGCATTAGCTAAAAGGATAATAACTTAGCATGAGCAAAGCATTAGCTAAAAGGATCATAAACTTAGCTTAAAAGAGAAAAGCTCTTAACTAAAAGAATCATAAACCTAGCTTAAAGGAGCAAAGCATTAGCAAAAAGGATCATAAACCTAGCTTAAACAAGCAAAGCACTTGCTAAAAGGAGCAAAAATCTAGCTTAAAGGAGCAAAGCACTAGCTAAAAGGAGCATAAACCTAGCGTAAAAGAGCAAAGCTTTAGCTAAAAGACTATAAACCTAGCATAAAGGAGCAAATCACTAGCTAAAAGGAGCTAAACAATAGCTAAAGGCTATCTAAAATATAAAAAGCGTAAAATTATAGCTAGAAGTTAAAAGTAGCAAAAGGCTAGCTTAAAGCTTAAGTAGTAAAAGTTAAAAGTAGCAAAATGCTGCTAAAAGCTATAAATATAAAAAGAGTTATGGAAAGTATGATGCAGGAAATTTCAGAGTGAACAATATTTTAAAGGAATTAATGAGTTCAATGTGTTTTATGAGAAAAATCTTTTGAATTTAGAATTAAATATTTTGAAGAAATTTACAAAATCTAAATGAGTGAGCTGAACTTTTTGATTTATGAAATGCTCAAATAGAAGATGTAGTTAGATTTCTAAAAACATTAAAAACAGGAAAACTACATTGTGAATGCTCACACTAGATTTATGGTGCAAAATCAGAACAAACAAAAGGGAAAAGAGACAGAAATTCATAGAAACAAGACAAAAATACTTGCTTGTTTAGCATGTATTAGCTACATTTTTTAAAAACGTTTTCTTTCTTTCTTTAATTCATAGTGCACGATGAATTTCGCACAGCCTCAGTCGAGGGCCCGTTCCACGGTGTTGACCTGGAAGACTGTGGCTACAACATCCCTCAGACAGACGAGTCCACGCTGATGACCATCGCCTACATCATGGCGGGAATCTGCGCGCTCTTCATGCTGCCTCTGTGTCTCATGGTGTGCCAGTGGCGCTTCGCCCGCTGCCTCCACCCACACGGGGACTTTGCAGACGACATATCGCTCCTTAAATGATAAAAAAAAAAACTGTTGGCAGACTGTAAATGTTGCAACAAGACGCTGCTGTTCACTGAGTGTTTTGAAAAGACTTTTCAGGAATCTGTCCAAAAGTATAGTTATTGCCTTGCTGCCATCGAGTTGTTTGCAAGGGAAACTAGAGCCATTAAGAACTTGCCGGGACAAGAAAAGGTGCTGCTATCAGCATCCTCTCCTATGCACATCAGCATGGCTAAGGGAACTAAAGTGGAGAACAATGCAAAACTAACTGTTTATTTAAGTTTTTTTTTATAAATAGTGTAAAAATAAACCATACAGACAGATCAGATCTTAGAAAGATTGTTCTTTTTCTTTAACTTGCACAAGCTTATGCAGGTTGGTTTATTAGGAATACGAGGAAAAGAAAGAAACATCTAAATGATCATTTCCTGGAACTGTTTTGCCCTGGTATGATTTGAACATGTGGTTATACTGTGTGTGCATTTGTGACTTTATGTTTGTGGCTTCTGCGTGAATGAACCAAGCTGCGCCGGTACGTTTGCAGTTTTACTGCACTTGAAGCGGACACAGAAAGGTTAAAAAACTGAAGAGGTTACCTATGAAAATAAGAGAACAATACAAAATAATTATTGCACTTGGTTGCACTTGAGAAAATTCTCCACAAAGATGAAGTATGCAGAGTTTATCAAATGTGTATTGCTTAAAAAATACAAAGTTAAATGGCATCAGATGTCACTTTTTTCTTCTCGTCCTGATAGCGTAAACGTATTCACTGTATATAAAAGTGTTCATCCCAAATCTCCCAAACAGTGCTCGCTGCATCCATCTGATCATTTTCTTATAATATAACACGTCAGGCAAACTTAATAGGGCTTCTGTCACACACACAAACATGTGCAGCCCAACATCAGCTGGGACCATTCATGCTCTGAGAAGGAAACCAGCCCAAAGTATTTTATCCACTAAAGAACAGAATGTATGACTGTAAAGAAGAGTTTGTTGTTTCTGAAGAGGCTGTAAATATATGAACACAGAACTGGATATTTATCTGTCAGGTGCTGACTGCACTGTTGAACCAATAAAGAACTTATTGTAACTGTAAACTGTCTTGGATCGTTTGTTTCTTTCAGACAATTCTTCAATCACATTCCAGCGTTCTTGTGAATCAGCTGACAGATTAGATTGTCAGGCTGGAGCCTTAACAAGGACTTTTAAAACCCTTCTTTGTACTCTAAATTTTTGATTGAAAGCCGACTATGTGACCTACCTGTAGTTTTGTCCCCCACGCCCTCCTGAAATAGTTTTGTGACGTCTTTCTAATTTCTTTTAGTGTGCATTTTGGATTTTCAATACATGCATTACTTAAAAATGTTTGTGCTTGTGACAACTTTCTTTGGTAAACGTTTTATTTTGTCTTGCTCCACATTTTAATTCATGCAAAATTCACAAATAAAATTTCTTTTGAGTTTGATAATGAAATTTATGATTTCAATAACTGGAAAATAAACTGTTCAGCTCAAACAGGCACATCCCATAGAACAGCCTGGAGCAGTTTTTTTTTTTTTTTTAACGTGGGGGTCATTGCCCCCTGGGGGGGCCTCCAGGGGGAGCTAAGGGTGCCTCAAAATGCTGGAGGGAAGAGTAAACTCATAAAATCATTCATTTATCATAAAATCAATTTTGCCTTAACATTATATAATTCATAATATATCCATCCATCCATCCATCCATTTTCTTCCGCCTATCCGGGGTCGGGTCGCGGGGGCAGCAGCTTCAGAAGGGAGGCCCAGACCTCCCTCT